GCAGCAGCACCTCCTCCTCCGGGGCAGCAGCACGCGCCGCCCGTAGCAGCAGCAGCAGCACCTCCTCCTCCGACGCAGCCCCACGCGTTGCCTGCAGCAGCAGCAGCACCTCCTCCGGCGGCAGCACACGCGCCGCCCGCAGCAGCAGCAGCGCCACCACTCCTCCTCCGGCGGCAGCAGCACGAGCCGCCCGCAGCAGCAGCACCTCCTCCTCCGGCGGCAGACGCTCCGCCCGCAGCAGCAGCAGCACGTTCTCCTCCGGCAGCAGCACCACGCGCCGCCCGCAGCAGCGACAGCATGTCCTCTGGCGGCAGCAGCATGCGCCGCCCGCAACAGCAACAGCACCTCTCCTCCTCAGGCAACAGCAGCATGCGTCGCCCGTAACAGCAGCAGCAGCACCTCCTCCTCCGATGGCAGCCGCACGCCGCACACGCCGCCCGCAGCAGCAGCAGCACCTCCTCCGGCGGCTGCCGCACGTGCCGCCCGCAGCAGCAGCACACCTCCTCCTCCGGCGGCAGCAGCACGCGCCGCCCGCAGCAGCAGCAGCATCTCCTCCTCCGGCGGCAGCAGCACGCCCCGCCCGCAACAGCAGCACCTCCTCCTCCGGCGGCAGCCGCACGTGCCGCCCGCAGCAGCAGCAGTAGCACCTCCTCCTCTGGCGGCAGCAGCATGCCCCGCCCGCGTCGTCCTCTAGCGGCAGCTTCATGCGCCACCCGCCCTCCTCCGGCGGCAGCTTCATGCGCCATCCGCACCCTCCTCCGGCGGCAGCTTCATGCGCCGCACGCGTCCTCTTCTGACGGCAGCTTCATGCGCCGCCGCGTTCTCCTCCGGCGGCAGCCTCATGCGCCGCCCGCGTCCTCCTCCAGCGGCAGCTTCATACGCCGCCCGCGTCCTCCTTCGGCGACAGCACCACGCGCCGCCCTCAGCAGCGCGTTTCCGTCGGGGCAAACTCACCATGTGCCGTCCGCTTCCTCCCTCGCGCCGTCCTGATTCAGGGGTTGCTTCCATTCACTGCCTCAAGACTTCTCTCTCTAATGCAGACTAAGGGTTGTGTTAGAATATCCTACTGTATTCACTAGTCTACATAGACTTGTTAGTCTTGAGTAGAGTTAAGCACTCCACTACTATTTGGATGTAATAACCCTAATTGGAGGTTGGGTTCCCAACTTGGTTGGGCTCCCCAATTTGGTTGGGTCCACAAACTATTTGGGACCCCCGAATAATTCCCACCAGAATTATTGACCACCATATAATCCCAACCAAAATTATTGGTGGGGGCCAATAATCTTGGCCAACTCCCAACCAACCCCTCCCTTCCTCCCTTTCCTCACATTCCTATGTAACCCTTGTGCTTTTCTCCTCTAATAAACTTTTCTAAGGTTCACCCTTTCTCACAAGCACGCCAGTCGGAATCGAGCACCAACTGTAGTGCTGGCCCCACACTCATGGAACTTGTTGTGGTGGACTAGCGCCCTCGAAAACAGTCAACGCTCGCATGCTACTCGTGGCGGGAGAAGTCTGCCACATCAAACGTCACTGCCCGAGTATCACCGACATTTTAGAGATCCCTGGGAAATATGGGCGAGCCCCAGTAGCTCTGGAGCAAACTCCTGGTGCAGCAACCACCCCCCTACTTCCAACACCATCATTCATCATCAGATCTGAGCTCTACACAATGACGCAACACACTCGCTTCTTGCCATTCTCTATGCTAAAAATCATGAATCATTTTTTTTTATTTTTTTTTTTGATTTTTTTACTCCATACCGGGGCGTGTGCAAACTTAATTTCCCCCTCTATTGCTTCTTAACCCTCACTTCCCAAAGGCCCTTATAGTTATCCCCAAGATGTCATCACGGCGGACTGTATTCGACGGCGCAGTGGGAGAACGCCACTTCCGGTACCTTGCAAGTTCAGACTGGAGGCTATGGTGATGTTTGAGTAGCTACCCCTCAGCAGCTACGAATGTGCTCTTGGTCGTCGATGGTTATACCACCTTGGACCCTGCATTTATTGGATCCCCGTAAGTGTTGTTGCTGGTAACTACTACATCTCGTCTTTCAGCCGTTACCGCCCTTGGTCATTTCCACCCCAACCAGCTGCACCCGCCCCTACCTCCTCCTCCTCTCGACCCATCCCCTCTGCTGCCACTCCCCCCCCCGCACACCCGAAGTCATAAAAGCACCTGTTCCTTCCCCTCCTCATCCAAACCGGCAGCCCTCTCATCCCATCTTCACAACCGTTTCTGAAATCTTTGACCCCCCCACCCCCTTCTCTGTCATCATCACCTACTCCTCATGACCTCTTGTTCATCTTCACTATGCCTATCTTGGCTTCACTACTCAACCCTATTCAAGCTCACGTTCAACACTTACTTCACCACCATACAGCGGTGTTTTTCCAGCATATCACCTCGCTGCGCCCCCCTCCGACCGTGCTCTTGGTCATAGCATCCGCTTAGTCCCTGGATCTACACCATTGGTCCACCCCATGTATCGCATGAGTACAGTGGAACTGTCGGAGATGCGTCACCAACTCGAGGACCTTCTTTCCAAGGGTCTTATCCGCCCCCAGCACTTCACCTTACGCTGGCCCCGTACTATTTACCCGGAAGAAGGAAAGGCGATGCATGACTCTGCTTTGACTGTCGCGCACTCAACGCCATCATCATCAAGAACAAGTACCGGCTACCCTGTGCTAAGGAGCTGTTCAACATGATCTACACAACATTGTTTGGTAAACAAGATCTATGATCTGGTTACCATCATATCCACGTCGTTGAAGCTGACCCTCCAAAGACGGCATTTTGCATCCGCTATGGTAATTTCGAGTTTCTTGTTCTACCATTCGGGCTCACCAATGCTCCAGCCACACTCATGGGCCGGGCGGTGTTCCGGGGTGGCAAAAGCAGAGCCGGGCGGTGTTCCGGGTTGGCATGACCAACTACGCGATCACCATGCCCATGCATTGGCGCTCCAGCCCACGCTTCCGCGCTTCCGCTGGACCTGTTTGACGTGCGTGTCATCAGTGGCGTGGAGCCCAAGTGGCGCAAGGAGATGGAGGAGGATGGAGTGCGGTTGGGAGGGAGGTTGAACCCGGAGGAACTGCAGGGTTTTAAGTACGAGCTGGACGTGGACGGGGGCACGGGGAGTGGCCGGACATGCGGCATCCTGGCCAGCAATCAGGAATGGAATACGACGATGGTACTTTATACCAGTACCCCTTTCCAACTCCACCTAACTCCCCCCCTTTACCTTCCCCGTAGCCCCCCCCCCCTTTCCTCCCCTCTCCCCAACCCCTACACCTTCCCTCCCTTGGTGGTGCTTCCTTCGCAGTTTTCCCCCTCTACTTCCCACTATTCCCCTCCCACCGTCCACTCAAATTCCCCCATTCATGTCTACAAAAGTATTAGAAAATCATCTACAGCTAGCGTTATCTCCAGCAACATCTCTCTGTCTATGGCAAGCCGGCGAGTACTACCAGCTCTTCGACCCGCTGCTGTGCCCCATGACACCCACCACCCCTTCTCCCTCCCTCCTTCCACCACCATTTCTCCTCCCTTTCCCCACAGGTGCTGATACAGCAAGCCAACGAATACTACCAGTCCTTTGACCCGCTGCTGTGCACCATGACGCACTTCCTCCCCACGCACCGCCACTTCCAAAACCTCTTCGCACAGATCGAGTGGGAGCGCGAAAACGACCGCAAGGCCCGCGAGATTGTTGCATCGGCCAATGAGTTCGCAAGGTAATTTGCCCTGATATAGACCCTCTTGCTGGGAAAGAGGGGAAGGTATTCCCCCTAGATTTTGACTTTCTGACCACCAACTGAGCTTGTAGCTGCCCATGTTCAAACATGACTCACAGCAGAACATTCCTTACCACGCGTCGGCTCACTCCTACCCCTCCACCCCTCTCCCCCCCTTTTCTCTCTCCTTCCCTCATCGCCAAGCCCCCTACCCGCCCTTTATGCAGCACCCTCTGCATGTGGGAGGGACGATGGCTCTTCTGGGCCATTCTCCTGGCCAATTATTCCACCAGTGCCTTGGAAGACAGCTCCAGCATAGTGGCTCCGCCTCTCTATCCCTGCTCAATCCCCCCTACTAACTCTCTCTTATCCCTTTATCCTCCCCATCCTCATCCCTCCCCATTTTATAGCACTCTGCACGTAGGAGGGCCGACGGCTCTTCTTGGCGATTCTCCTCGCCAATTATTCCACCAGCGCTCTAGAGGACAGCTCCAGTATAGCAGCCCCGCCTCTCTACCCCTACACCTCCCTTTTCAACCATCTCTTTCCCTCTCTCCTCCCCATCCCCATATCTCCCCACTTTACAGTACTCTCTGCACGTGGGAGGGCCGACGCTATTCTGGGCGATTCTCCTGGCCAAGTATCCCTCCAGCGCTCTAGAGGAAAGCTCCAGTATAACAGCCGCGCCTCTCTACCCCTGCTCTATCCCCCCTACTCACTCTTGCTTTCCACTTATCTTCCCCATCCCAACGTCTCCCCACTTAACAGTACTCTCTGCACATAGGAGGGACGACGCTTTAACAGTACTCTCTGCACATAGGAGAAAAAAACCTCACAACGAGTGGGTGCGGTTCCAAGACATGAGGGAACAGGAGGGAGGGAACACGCGTGAGGGAAGACGAGTGAGGGAAGACGAGTGAGGGAAGACGAGAAAAGCAACAGTGAGCTACATGCCAGACTCATTCCTTGCTTGAGGAATGAGAATGAAGGATCACTGACCGCGTTGGCATTATATAAATAAACAAGGCTTCAGGCTCTGTTTTTCAACAAATGACTTTTGCGAATGCTCAAACCTATGGCAAAACTCGATTTTGGTCATAGAGGCTTCTTGTTCCAGGTGCCTTTTTGCCTCCACTAAAGCAGAGAAGCAAATTGAGTCTGAAGGCACACAGATGGATGCGCTGGGTTGCTGCTTCTTGTCTGTATGAATGCAAGCTGCTACTTCATGACAGATTTGGTTACCTCTATCACAATAGACAATGATATACATCAACTGAAACAAGAGAAATAATCAGAAATATAATCTCTCAGCCCTGCATCACATGGAACGATGCGTTGAGAAGGGCTGGGGGGTGATGGGACATAGGTTGGGCTTTGATGCACCTCAAGAGCAGATGCAGTGAAACTTGAGGTGAATCAAAGCCCATCCATTCACTTGCTCGCGGCTTTGTCTGCCGCTTGTACTTGGCTTGCAACTTGAGAATCGCTTGTGAGAGATACTTGAGAGAGATACTTGAGAGTGCTTCCAGCCTGCCTGAGAGATACTTGAGAGTGCTTCCAGCCTGCTTGCCTGCCTGCCTGCCTGCCTGCCTGCCTGCCTGCACGCCCTCCCACCACACCTGCCTCTTCTGCACGCACCCCTCAGCGCCTGCCACGGCCACCAAACCCTCCCCCCATGCCTCCTCCCCCCCCTACCACCACGCCCCCTCCCCCCATGCCTCCTCCCCCCAGGCCCCCTCCCCCCATGCCTCCTCCCCCCATGCCTCCTCCCCCCATGCCTCCTCCCCCCATGCCTCCTCCTCCCATGCCTCCTCCTCCCATGCCTCCTCCCCCCATGCCTCCTCCCCCCATGCCTCCTCCCCCCATGCCTCCTCCTCCCATGCCCCCTCCACTACCACCACCCCGTCCCATTCCACCCGCTCCACTTCCCCCGCCTCCTCCCATTCCACCCCCTCCTCCAGTTCCGCCCATGCTGCCCCCAGGGCCTCCCATTCCTCCGCCTCCCATGCCACCCCCTCCTCCCATTCCTCCCCCGCCCATGCCACCCCCTCCTCCCATTCCTCCCCCGCCCATGCCACCCCCTCCTCCCATTCCTCCCCCGCCCATGCCACCCCCTCCTCCCATTCCTCCCCCGCCCATGCCACCCCCTCCTCCCATTCCTCCCCCGCCCATGCCACCCCCTCCTCCCATTCCTCCCCGCCCATGCCACCCCCTCCTCCCATTTCTCCCCGCCCATGCCACCCCCTCCTCCCATTCCTCCCCCTCCCATGCCACCCCCAGCACCACCACCTCCCATCCCTCCCCCAGATGGACCGCCCTGATTTCCTCCGTCCATCCCTCCACTGTAGTCACCACCGTTGCTCCCTCCATTATAGTCACCACCATTACTCCCTCCATAGTCTCCACCCGTGTTTCCCCCGCTGTAGTCACCACCAGTGCTGTAGTCCCCACCGGTCCCTCCATTATAGTCACCACCAGCACCATAGCCCCCACCATTGTTCCCCCCACCATAGTCACCCCCAGGTCCTCCCTGTCCGACCCCAGGTCCCCTCTGTCCGCCCCCAGGTCCCCCTTGTCCGCCCCCCTGCACTGGTCCTCCCCCACAACCCCCACCACCAGCACCAGCAGCACCAGCAGCACCAGCAGCACCAGCAGCACCAGCAGCACCATCAGCCTCACCAACATTGGCGGCAGCACCTGCTCCTCCCCCACTACCACCACTGCTGTAGTCGCCGCCTGTGTTGCCCCCACTATAGTCACCACCGCTATTACCGCCACTGTAGTCACCACCATAGTTACCCCCAGGCCCCCCCTGTCCGCCACCAGCCCCCCCCTGACCGCCCCCAGGTCCCCCCTGTCCGCCACCAGGGCTCCCCTGTCCGCCACCAGGGCGCCCCTGTCCGCCACCAGTTCCCCCCTGTCCGCCAACAGGACCCCCCTGTCCGCCATTAGGGCCCCCCTGTCCGCCACCTCGCTTGCAGTCCCCCCCCCCACCTCCTACTCCTCCTCCTCCACTGCTACCACCGCTGCTGCCACCATAGTCGCCACCGTTTCCCCCGTTATTGCCACCTCCAGAGTTGTAGTCACCACCATTTCCCCCATTATAGTCACCACCGCCATTACCACCGTTGTAGTCACCCCCATTGTTTCCTCCGTTGTAGTCACCCCCACTGCTTCCTCCGTTGTAGTCACCCCCATAGTCACCACCACCGCCACCACCGCCCGTGCCACCACCAGTGCCTCCCCCTCCGGACGAGGCAGAGGAGCAAGAGAAGTCCACTTGAAGCCATCCACTGCAGGGGGCGAGGGCGAGGGGGAGACGGCAGGATGGCACAGGAGGACAGTAAGAACAGACGCATTGATTGTTGCGAACGGCAGGAGGAAAAAACGCACTATAGAGATGAGATGAGGGTGAATGCAAGCTGCGAAACCCGCAATGCAGTGTGTGTGTGTGTGTGTGTGTGTATGTGTGTGTGTGTGTGTGTGTGAGAGAGAGAGAGAGAGAGAGAGAGAGAGAGAGAGAGAGAGAGAGAGAGAGGGTGTGTGTGTGTGTGTGTGTGTGTGTGTGAGAGAGAGAGAGAGAGAGAGAGAGAGAGAGAGAGAGAGAGAGAGAGAGAGAGAGAGAGAGAGAGAGAGAGAGAGAGACAGAGGGTGTGTGTGTGTGTGTGTGTGTGTGTGTGTGTGTGTGTGAGCACGCATGTGCACTCACTCATAGCTGCCGTGGAAGCCAAGCGACTGCGAGCCGTCGCTGGAGTGGGCCCACACGAGCATGTTGCTGCCTTGCACGCTCACAGGCACCGACCCGTCGCCCGACGAGCGGTTGAACCTGATTCCAGCAGGCAAAGCAGAAAGAGTGTGAGAGGGTGAGAGATCCAGAACCCGAAGCCCTCAAAACTCGACGCTAAACCCTCAAAACGCAAAGCCCGCACCTGAGCCAGCGCCACCTAGACCCCTGAAACCTAAACCAGAAGCCCAAACCCGAATCAGCCAGCAATCCGAAACCCTAAAGCTCGAAATCAACATCCAAGGCAGAATGAAAACTCCGAAAATCCAAACCCCGAAACTCCAGACCAGAAACCAGGGCATACCTCAGGACGGTGGATCCCGAGGCTGACGTGGCGAGCTGCGCGTTGCCAATATCGAAGCTGCTTGTAGGCTGAACGTCGCTCTGCCCCGTGCCGCTCATGTACACCGCTTTCACGCCGCCGCCTGCCAGATTGCCGACCACGGCGTCGGACCCCGCCATGCGGCCTGTTGACGACCAGCCGACAGAAAACCAGCCGGCCGCGGCTGCGCTGCCGGCCGCCGCTTCCAGCGCGAAGGCGAGCTGCGACGAGGTCACTGCGCGCCAATGCAGGGTGAGACCGCTGGAGCCCAGCGCGACGGACGAGGTGAACCCGTCCAGCGACGATGCCTGGCAGCCCGAGCTACTAGTAGCAGCCGCCGTGCTGCGCGCCGATTGGATACTGCTGCCAGGGCTGCTAGTGCTGCCAGTGCCGCTCCTTTGACCGTTCGAATTGCCGCGCAGGAGGCCGCTTCCGGACCTCCATATCGTCCGCGCTATGGAACGACTCGATTCGATTCCCTGGGAACGAAAAAGGGCACGCTGCGCGCCGTTTGCTGCGGTGGGAGTGGGAGCGGCGAGCAGGAACGAGCCGAGTAGCAGTAGGAGAAGCACAATACTGCTGGGTGCTCTACTTCTAGCGGCACGCGGTCCCGCCATGCGTCGATGCATCTCTCGGGAAACGACGGCAAAGGATTTTATAACCAGCGAAACCAGCGATTCTTTATTAAGCGCTCGTACGATCGTGGTAGCAGCTATCTCACAGGCCACGGCTCGTACTACTTCGGAGTACTTGCTCAGAAGACTCTTGAAGTTGATGTTATATAATGGCAAGGGGAATCAATTTATATGTGGGGGCTCACTCACTCACCTTTCGCAGGCAAATCACACCAGCGGCTCGGAGCAGCACCCCCAGCGTCAATTCCGAGAGATCCGCGAAGTGTGCCGACGACCTCCAAATGCTATTCTGTCGCACAAGCGGGCAGATATGCTACGGCGAGAGTGGTAGACGACTCCTGGTAACGTAGATATATTTCGTCAGAGCCAAACCTCGCGTCTTTTGGTAAGGGGGAGAACGGAAGGCTGATTTGCGTTGACCGTCGTTTCAAGGGGTTGAAAAATCGCTGACTCGTGGATTTGACTCACCTTTGGTCGATCCATGGAATTCTTGAGAATGCCATCTTATTGACATGTTCCATTGTGTAGCTATGATGCTACAGATTCCCCAACCTGTTCTAGCTGGTCTATAATGTTCTCACAATGCCTGTTAAAAGGAAAATGCATGGTAGATGTGCTTGAGGCATACCTCAAGAGCTCTGCTGAAGCAAATTTATTGACACATAGATAGTCAATTCGTGTTACAGCTGCTTTATGAGAGGTTGTTTTAACTATCTCCAATTGTTTCCCGTATATTGTGCAAAACTCACGCACGAAAACATATAATCCACATCCCAGGCCAGCGAGTATCCTTTCTTTGACCTGTGACCCACTTCCGCCCCCCCAAATGCCCCTTCTGCCTCACTCCACCCCCACTTCTCTCCGATAGCGGTGGACTACCGGCATGGATACAAGCAAGGGAGAAACAACTCAGACTAGACAAAGCTGAGTATAGAATCGCTGGTGGTCACGAGGCCTAAGGGCCTTGGTGAAGATATCAGTAGTGTTGGCCTTCGAGGCCAACTCTACTACACGGGCTTGACCACACTACTGCAACTCACGTAGCTGGAAGTACTGCAGAATCATGGCCCTGTCATCAGCAAACAGGACTGGGGCAGACATAGGCCGCTCACCTAAGTCAGTGAGCAAGAGAGTCAGCAACCGGAGCTCCTGAGCGGTCATAGTCCAAGCATAGATCTCTGCCTCACAACTGGACTGAGCTGCAGACGATGACCTAATGGACCTTCATGAGACTACATCCACACCAAGACTAAAGCAGTAGCCCTGTGAGGACATGAGTGTCTCCAGATCGTCAGCCCAAGACTCGTCTGTGTGTCTAGTGAGGACCTCTGGCTCTCGACCTCCCAGCACAAGCCCCTGTCCTGATGTACTTGCCAGATACCGCAACACCCTCTTGGCAGCCGACAGTGCTCTGGTCGATGTCTGCTAGGCGCAACAAAGCGAGCAAGGATACTAAGACGGTACACTAGATCTGGTCGAGTGCACGTCATCAGGTACCCCCACCAACCAGGTGGACCACTAGGCTCGACGTGCTCAGCAGAAAAAGGAGCACAGTGCTTGTGGTCCACAGGCAGAGGGGTGGGCTATGTTGACAAGAACTGAAAGCCAAGACGCTGGAGGATGTGCTGCACCATATGGGACCACGAGAGTGTGATCGTAGGCGCTGCATGATCACGAGAGATCTCCAAGCCCAGATAGCACCACAATTCTCCTAGGTCTGTATAGGCGTGTCGCATGAGCAGCTCGGCCTTCATGGAGGCTAGTTCGACTTTGTCTGGTGTAGCAAAGATAAGGTCGTCTATGCACACAAGTATGTAGAACGGAGCCTGACCTGCACGAACAAAGAGCGAAGGGTCAGCAGAGGATGAGAAGAAGTGGAGAGCCGTGAGTGTCGTGCGAAGCGTGTCGTACCACTGATGTGGCGCCTGGCGTAGACTGTAGACAGTGCAGCGCAGGCTCCACTGGGTCCCAGGCTCCAGAGTGTGGAGTTGTACTCACGCTGTACGGGTATGTGGAAGAGCACCCGAAGAGTATTCAACTTTGAGGTGGGGGAGAATGTTTGGAAGAAGTCCACACCCTCTCGCTGAGTGAAGCCTCTAGCCACAAACCATGCCTTGAAGTGCGGCGGCTCTCCAGAGGAGCGCTTCATCATATAGATCCACTTGCCATCGACTATGTTTGCCCAACGTGGAGGAACTGCGTCGACGTGAGTGCAAGGGGATCTATCAGATACCATCTCTGCCTTTATAGCCTGTATCCACTGGGCTGTCCAGGCACCCAAGACTGCCTCAGCCTACGAGCGTGGGGTAGGGATGTCCAGGGTGTCTGGGTCACTCTCAGAGGACACAAGCATGTCACAGAGAAAGGTTACAACATCCGCAAGGAGAGCTAGCTCGTACTACCTAACCTCTAGAACGTCATTGCCAAGGGCAGGTTCACCCCCGATGGACAGAGGACAAGCAGGCTCAAAGACCAAAACGGAAGCGTAGTCAAGGCAGTGGCTTGCGGCAAAGTCAGCGACAGCAGCGATGAGAGTAGAGACACCCTCACGAGGAGCAGTAGGGTCCGTGACAAGCGACGCAAGCAAGAAGGAATCAACTAGGTGTGTAGTGGGAGAAGATTCAGAGGGGGGAGCAGGGGACAGCGGGAGCAACGATTGGGGAGGTAACGGCAGGGCAGGGACCGGAGGAGCACGAGAACGAATAACCATAGGGTGGACATGGGCACGAGAAAAGACAGAACGACCACCAGGGAGATGACACACCTAGTGGGATAGGACGGGGGACGGGGGACAGGACAGAGGACGGAGGAGAGTGAGGGGAGAAACAAGCAGGAGAGGAGTCCGGTGCGAGGGGGGGGGGGAGGGGGAGAGGAGCGGACTGTAGACAGCATCAGACAGGAGGGGAGGCACTGTAGGAGGGAGAGACAGGCGATCAGGGGAGCTGAAGAAAAGGCCAAGCACTCGCAGAACCAGCATCCGCAGAGCCAGCACCCACAGAGCCAGCACCCCCAGAGCCTGCAACCCCAGAACCAGCACCCATAGAGACAGCACCCCCAGAACCAGTACCCTTTGAACCAGCACCCCTAGAGTCCACATGCAGCCACTACTGCTGTTGCAACTTCTGTTGCGACAACAGAGGCAGAGGATTCTGATGTGCCTAGGGCACTGGGGCTGGGGGGAGGGGCACCGCAGCTACGGCAGGTGCGCCCTCAGCCCGGAGGTCTCTAGAGTAAACAGACTTCCTCACAGGCCCATCCGAGTGGAGGGGAGTGGCGTGGGAGACACAAGACTGGGCCGGGCATGGTGGGAGGAAAACATAAGGTGGTGCAGCAGTGAGGAAGAGAGGTGGGGGAGGAACATGAGTGTTACGATGAAGGAAGCGGGCGTAGAACGAGACGGACTCGTCGAACATATAGTTACGAGAGCGAAAGAAGCGGTGCTGTCCCATGTGGTAGAATAGTCAGTTAGGAGCATCGAGCAGGAATCCGAGGAAGACACATGGGACAGTGCGGGCTTGTCCGTGCTGAGAGCGCGGACGTGAGCCAGGCTGTGCGTCACCAGGAGACCTAGTCCAGAGGAGGGTCGGCAAAACCAGTGGCTGTGAGGAGCGAGACCACATATTAAGCCGGTGAGCCGCATGCGCACCGCGGACGGCCACAGAAAATGGGGGGCACCGGCATGGACCATGGACGTGCGGGCCACCTCCATGACCAAGCTAATGCGACGCTCAGCAACTTCATTCTGCTGCGGCATGACAAATTCTGGAAGGGTGAACGTCTGGGTGATGCCCTCCTCATGACAGAAATTACATAGACGTCTAGAGGCGAACTCCCAACCACGGTCGGAGTGAAGACGGAGCACAAGCAGGGAGCGCCGGGTGTGGACAAGACGAAGTCACAGGAGGAGGGCGTCAAGCACATCCGCCTTCCGCTCCAAAGGAAAGATTGTGATGAACCATGCAAATTCGTCGACGACAACCAGGAAGTAGCGCTCCTCGCGAGGACCCAGGACTAGAGCAGGGCCCCAGACGCCCGTGTGTAGAGTCTGTAAGGGAGCGATACGGGGAGACCAGTGACTAGACCGTGGGACGCCATGTGACGCAGCTGCAGGAGAGCAGGGTGACCTATAAGCGGTGATGCCACAGGAGTGTCGAGTGGGTGAGGGAGCAACAGGAGCAGGACGCAGCAACCAGGGTGGACGCTGCTAAATGGGTGGACTTTGTATGCACTGTGAAGAGACCGGATGCAGGGTCGCGGTCAAAGGTGGCAAGACGAGCGCCCGTGGCAGTGTCCGTACGAAGTACATATTGCTCGTGGCTAGGGAACGCGGTGGTGACGTCGAGGCCCTTTACATGGCCGATACGAACCAAGTTCTTGGAAATCATGGGGATATGCAAGCTAGTAAAGGAGCCGGACGGGACAGCCGGAGAGGGAAGAGTCGTGGAACTATGAGCAACGACTACGGCAAGGGAGTCAGTGAGGAAGATTAGTGCCGATGCAGAAAGCGGTGTAAGTGCAGTGCGGTCTCGGAAGAAGCAGCGAGACGCGCTAGGATCCAGTGTGTAGGAGAGGGCCGCTGTAGGAGGGGCAGGGGAGGAGCCTAGTCGACACGTGGTAGAGGTGTCTAGAGTACACCAGCAAAGGGAGCTAGAACCCCAGGCCCCCAGGCCGCCAGAGATACCACGCGGGCCCCAGGGCACCACCCCGGGGCCCAACCTACAGGGCCTCCGCCGTGCCCAACACTCCCAGGACCCCACCGCGGCGGCTGCTGCTGCTACTGTGGCAGTTGTTGTGGCCGCTGAGGCTTACTGACAGGCTGGCTAGCTGGCTGGCGGGGAACGGCTAGCTGGCTAGCAGCTGGTTAGCTAGCTGCGGATCGGTGGCGGCAAGCTGGCAGCAATGTGCTGGCAGCGAGCTGGCGGTGGCGAGTTGCTAGCCTGCTGTTGGCGGCGGTGAGCTGGCGGCGAGCTGGCAATGGCCAGCGCGCTGCTGGCGACGGCAATCAATCTCCGGAACTGGTACAAGTTGCGTGCGTGACCCAGCCGCATGGCTCCGCATTGGAGCACAGTTGAGAAGATTGACCAAGGAGAATTAAGCTTCTCTCACCCACCCCCATG